CCGTGAGACAAAGCTCCTGACAATGACATAGCCAGAGCAGTGGTGAAAATGAAATGAGATAGAAGGGATAAAAGCACTTTGGAAATGATAGGAATGTGAGCTGGTACAAATCGCATTGCCCAGCATGCTTCCTTTGCTCCGTCCACTCTAGGAAAGCTGGCCGACTCTTGACCCCTAGGGTGCGCAGAAGTCTTTCCCAAACTTTACTTCCCGCTGCCCCTCCACCTGCTGCCCCTTCTCTTTCGCTCTTCACCTGATGAACTCCCGCCATCTAGGAAATCTCAATTCAGGTATGTCTGTAGAAGAGCCTTTTTTCCCCCCTGGTCCAGTTTGGATGGTTTTTCTCTTTCATGGTGCCCAGTAATTCTTAACTATGCTTGTCAAGGTGTAGACTCATACATTTAGTGGTGCTTTTTCTGTTTCCTGTGTCTCTTACAGAATAAAAGCTGCACCAGGGGAGGCCTCCTGTGGATCTCACTCTCCATCGCATTCCTAGTATCTGGCACAAAATAGAAATTCAGGGTTGCTGGATGAATAAAATGAGTGTTGTGTGGATGTAAGGTGTTAACATGCAATTCCCCCAGCTTAAGTAAAAACACGGTTGTCTTCATTTGCATCGAAATGTTTGTATCGTTTGAGTCACTTAGTCCCACTGAGTTTAGTCAATGCTGGGGGACAAGATAACATCAGGCTTGGGTCCAGCAGTGGTGAGGTCACAAGCCTCTTTTTTTTACATCTATTTATTTGAGCATCCGGACACTAAGCAGGTGGACTCTGGACCATTTTATAAGAGGACTTTCTTTTAGATGTCAAGTCGACCCAGTGGAGGGGAAAACTTGAGTTCAAGTAGCAGAGGTGAAGCTTGAACTTCCTGATAGCTCTCCTCAGGCCTAGCCTGGCAGAAAGTTGTGGAGGAAGAAATGTGGCATAATGGAGCTCAGCCTCAGCCATCTCCTCCTCATTTTTCCCCCACCCCCAGGGCAGCATTAAAGACCACGGGCATTCTAGATTAAACTAAAGCCTGAATTTGGTAGTACTCTCCTTCCCCAGCCCCTCCCCTCCCAGTCAGTCATCCAAACTGTTACCAGCAAGAATCTTTCTCAAGCTGAAAGTCCATTTCCCTGCTTTGCTTCCTTCTACATTTCTCTGTCATCTAGAGGGTAACAGCCAAACTCAGCATGGAATGGATATTACTTCACAACCTGACATCTAAACTTTCCTGCTTCAAATCTCCCTTCATTTTTCTTCTCATACCTTCATTGCCAGCCTCTCCAAGCAGCTTACAGCTTCCCGAACACGCCACGTTTTCCCATGCCTCTGTGCCCCGGGCGCCCAAGTGCCTCCTCCGGCCTTTCTGTCCTGGTGAGTTCCGCTGGCTCGGCTCAGATGTCATGTCTCCTCTGCCATCTGTCCCGATAACGGGGCCTCCCCTCCAGATCTGGCACCTCTTTGTGCTTCATGTCTGTGCTTCTCCCCACCAGGCTGTGAGTTCCTGGAGAATAGGGATTGTGTCTTGCTCATTACTGACCCCGACGGTCAGCATAGGGCCTCCATGAGACCCAGGCCCTGGGGAATGCCCTTCTTTGGGACGTCAGAAGTCCAAAAGCAAGTAACTGGAACCAGATTCCAGAGTTAGAAGGGGATAAGTTCACATTCCGGGGCTATCCCATATTCTAACATTTCCCCATCTTGCACGGCATTCCACCTGACCCATATAGAAGGCCCATGGAAGCAGGAATAGGGCAGAATAAAAGGCATTGTCTTTTTTCCTTAGTTCCACCAACGCATATCGTCTCTAACAATCAAAAGACACGGGGAATAGATACTTTAGCATGATTCTTATCTCTCTCTAGCAAATACTGAGTACTAACTTCTAGATCCCTGAGATATATTTACGTTACAAACGGAAAGTCCTCTCTGCCATCGCCAATGAAGTAGTTGTTTAATAAAGCCATATCTGGAACTGTTTTTTTGGTGCCTGCTTAATGTTTACATAGTATCCTTGCCCATTCCCACCTCCATTCCTACTATTTCAGGCTGAGCCATTTTATATATGAGGATGTCCGCTAGCATTAGCAGAGGGGAGAAGGGACATCGGGTGGCTGTAACAATGTGATAACAGCTTAATTATTTTAAGAACACTCTTTGAAAATTGGACTTTAGAACACCCATGTAAATTGGCTGGGCTTGAATCTTCTGGGGGTCTTCAATCCATCTGAAGTTGTATATCTGGAAATGGATGAGGTATATTTCACTAGAAGAAATTAAGACCTGGAATTATTTTGGAGGAGGGTTTAAGTTCAATTGCTTGTTCACTCATCACACATTTGTTTTATAAACATCTCCTCTTACCAGGCACTGTACTAGGAGTAGTCTGGGGTCCACAGATGGGTTGGATAGGGGCCTAGCTAACCAACACAGAGGTTCACAATGATAATACTTTGATAAGTGCTATCATAGAAGTTTTGAAAGAAAGTTATAAATGCTCAGTGGGAATGTTCGTTCCACCTGAAGACAGACTTAGCAAGGAATGCTTCATGGAGAAGGTGCTCTGTGTGCCAGGCCATAAAGAATGAGTAGGATTCATCAGCTGAAGCAGAAGGAAAGGTATTCTGGATAGACAGATGAGCACAAGCAGAAGCATGGTAGGGTGAAAAGGCATGCGATTCAGATTCACACAAAGGTAAGTTTCTCATAGTGAGCGTGTAGCCATTACGTTTAAGAATTATTAACCATTTTGAGTCGTGGAACTCCATGAAAACCAAATAAAAGCTAATGATTTCTTTCCCTATGGGAGTGTGTGTATGCGCATACACACATATACAATTTTATAGGCATTTTCATTGAGTTCATGAACCCTCTGCCCCCATGGACACAAAGCGTTAAGAATCTCTGATTGAAATATACATATATAAAACAGATCAGAAGAGAATTAATGGTTTTATGTGCTACTAGCTTCATTTTCTCCATTGGTGTTACCCAAATAATCACTCCGTGAATGCCAAAATAAATTTAACTTTTGTGTGTCTACAAGTAATTAACTGATTTTCCATCTCCAAAGGTCATTGGTTAATTTCCTCCACCACAATGTTTTTTTTTTTTTTTTACTCCTTTTGTTAGAATGGTTAGACTTTCAGGGATATATACACATTTAGAATGTTAGTTGAAACAAGCAAGTATGGGGAGAGGCCTGAATTTCAGGCTTTTTTTTTAACACTTGGACTCTAAATAAAGCTGGGGAGTGGCGTGGCTTTTCTGTGCGGCTCTGTTGTCTGGGCTTAGTCTACCTTTGCAGGTAATTAATTCCCCAGCCTGCTTATTTTTTCTAGTTGGCTCTTGTTTAGCTTTCATAGAGCCCCACCCCAAAGTGCTTTATTGTCCCTCTGCTGACTATTCCTACATATGGTCAAAATCAACTCACCTTCCGGGTTGCTGACATCGGCAAATTTACTCTTCGGCAAACTCTGCTCTGCTCCTAGTAACCCTTTGTGAAAGAAGTGTTATTACAACGGAGTGGATCGGATAGCTTACAAGTCTGTCCAATCTCTCCCACTCTAGATACACTCCTAAGGAGAAACTCTTTGTCTTTGGATTTACAGCCACAGGCAGGATATTAGCACTCTCAGACCTGTTGGGTACTAGAACGCTGCTAATGAGCAAACAGCCCTGCCTCAATTAGTGGTTTGTGAAATATTCCTGGATATCAAATTGCTTTTGCTGCTTGATAATCATACTGGCTCTTGGGATGAAAGCAACCAAGCAAAAATTGTTCCCTTGTTGCATACTGCCTTGTTGATCTCCTAAGTTATACCTGTAGACAGAATCTAAGTTTGCCATTTCCCCAGAGCTAAGGTTTGATTTACACATGTAATCATTGTGTTGGTGTTCATGTTTTCTTCTATGAATCTTTCCCATGTTATATAGATTACCATCTTCTTAGGTTGGTTCTGTAATAATAACTTAAACCAGGTTGATTTTAGAAACAAATTAAGCAATAAACTATAGAAGAATCCCAAATGGTAAACAGCTATAGTGGTAATTTGTCTAAGTATAGTGTTTATTTCAGAGAGACAGAGAGAGAGGAGGGGAGTAGGAGAGAGAGAGAGAGAGAGAGAGAGAGAATATTAATGAAACTGGGAGAATGTTTCATCCCAGATTGCAAATTCCGTGTTGACTCTTCCTAAATTCTTTGCTTCTTAATTACCCAGTAACTTTAGCTGGCAGCAACGTTAACCCCAGAAACTGAAAAGAAAAGCTTCAGTGTAGAGCTTGGGAAGAAAAAAGTAGTAAAGGGAAAGGAATTCGAGATCTGTTATTGGTATTTGAATACGTTTATTGTGACAAGAATGCTGTTATAAATATTCATAAGCAAAGACCATCTTTTTTATCTAGGGATTATTAAAGATTCCAAATTGGAAGGATACATCTTTTGTAAAAACCTGCCACTGTTCCTGATTTGAGAATTAGCAGCTACTCTGAAATTTCTGCTAACATCATAAATGGTCACAGCACATGCCACTTGGTGTAAACCAGACTTTAAATTCTTTGACTTCACCGTGGGCTGTCTCCCTCCACCACAACCTCCCTTTCCTCAGCCTTCTGAAGGGCCACCCTATCCTTTGTAAGCAACTCTAGACAGACTGTTGGGGGAGGGAAGAGTATAAGTTGATGAGAGCATCAGCTACAGTTATTCTCAAGTCCAGTACAGAACAGTTTTCACTGCTTGATAGTAAGCAGCACTGAGAGTGATTTTAGTTGACATTCTTTGAACTCTTTCAACTCCACCTCGACAGGTAATCCATAGATAATGCAGAAAAGAGGTTGTGGGAGGGGTACTTTTTCAATATTTTATTGTATTTTCTTAAATATCCTTTCTGGAACTTTCAGGAACAAAACATAAAAAAATTATATACTTTATTACAAATGGTAAACTCAGAGTGCTCCAAATCTCTTATTTACAAACAACACTGGGCAGGACACCCAAACAAACAAACATGAAATAACTTACAAAGGCATGAAGCTGTTTATTGACAGTAATCAGCTTTCATCAAATTAAAAAATATATATATGTACATACACAGTTAAGGAAAGCAGGCCAGAAAAGAGTTCATCTGCAGGCTCAGCCTCGCTCTCACAAACTCCCTCCCGCCTCCCCTCCCCCAACCCCCCCCCTTTGTGTTCTTAAGGAGTACTACAGAAGCAATCTACAGTCTCTATTGCAGTTTGTAACCCCTCCCCCTCCCCCCTTTAATACTGAATGAGATCGAATGTTAGGTCCATGCAGTTCTTGGTCAATGTTAAAGAAAAGTCTAACGTTCTGTTCGCGCGGGGACAGCCCGTCCGCAAAGCGGGGCAGCCCGCAGGCAGCCGCTCCCTGGCCCCACGCCAAGGGAGGGCGCGCCAAGTCCTTCCCACTCGTGCACACTGGGGGCGCCGTCAGGACGCCGCCCAGTCCAACTTGGATACCCTTGGCTTTAGTCCTTGGACACTTCTTTTCTCTCTCTTTCTCTCTCTCAACTTGTCAAGTTCTCAAGTCTGTCTCTCTGTGTGATTATTTTTTTTTTCTCTGTTGCCCCTCAGCCCCCGACAGTCTCTCCTCAAAACGTTTGCAACTGCTGCGTTAGCATGAGTTGGCACCCACTGTTAACGTGGTTCATGACTTTCTGTTTAAGCTGTGCCACCTGTTCCCTGAGCATGTTGGCCGTGGACGCCAGCTCCGAGTTCTGCGCTTTCAAGGTTTTCACTTTTTCCTCCAGCCGGGCGATCCTCTCCAGCTTCCTTTTCCGGCACTTGGAGGCGGCGATGCGGTTCCTCATGCGCTTCCTCTCCGCCTTGATCCTCTCCTGCGACTCCATGTCGATGGGGGACAGGGGCGGCGTTTCCCCGGGCATCTCGGGCACCGTCTGCGGCTCCTCCTTCAGGGCTTGCAGCCGCGGGTGCTGCACGGGGATCTGCTGGGGCAGGTGGTGCGGCGGCTGCGGGGGCTGCTGCTGCTGCTGGGGCTGCGCGGGAAAGGACAGGCCGGCCGCGCCGTAGGAGGGCGCCCCGCCGCCGCCGCTCAGAGCGCCCGGGTTGAAGTTGCTGAGGTTGGCGTAGACCGGCGGCTCGCTGTGCAGGCTGGCGCCGAAGCCGCCGCCGCCGCCCGCCGCCGAGGCCGCCGCTGAAGCCACCGCCGGAGCCACCATGCCCGCCCCGCTGACCGGCTGCGCCGCGGACGTGACGCTGGGCAGGGTGTTCTGGCTGTGCAGTTCGGCCAGGGCGCGCACGAAACCCTCGGCGAAGCCCTCCTGCTCGTCTGTCACGTTCTTGGGGCACAGGAACTGCGTGGGGGTCGGCGTGGTGGTGATGTGCCCGTTGCTGGACTGGATTATCAGGCGCTCCAGCTCGGGCGACGCCAGCTTGAGCAGCCCCACGTCGGGCGAGGTGAGGAGGTCGGAGTTCTTGGCCCGGAGGTGCGGCTTCAGGCTGCCCACCGGGTCGGCCAGGTTCAGGGTCATGCTCTGTTTCAGGATCTTGGGGTTACTGTAGCCGTAGGCGCCGCTCTCGGACTGGAGGAACGAGGCGTTGAGGGCATCGTCGTAGAAGGTCGTTTCCATCTTTGCAGTCATAGAACAGTCCGTCACTTCACGTGGGGTTAGTTTGGGCTGCGCGCAGAAGTTTCGGGGCCGCAACAGCGCGCTGGCGAGCGGGGGACACCCCTCCCGGGGCCCTGGGCAAGGAAAGTTCCTCGAGGGGCGCGCGCACCCGCCGGCTGTCCTCCCCCCTGCGCCCTGCTCACCAGCTCGCTCCCAGGTGCTCAGGGTTCGGACGCCGCCAGCGCTCTTACTTGTCAGCTCGCGCGCGCTGCCCGGCTTTGAAAAGTCGCGGTCACTCCCGGAGCGCTCTCGGCGCAGCGGTAGCTGGGCGCCCGCAGACGAACACGCTTCCCGGCGACAGCGGCCCTCCGGGCGGCGGCAGGCAGCGCCGATCCCGCGGTGGCCGGCCGGCAGCGGGTGTCCGCCGCCCGGACTGCGACGACTGTCCCCTCCTCCGCGGCGAGGGGGAGGGGGCGCCGGGCAGCCGCGGCTCGCGCTCGCCCAAGTTCAGCAACCGGTGCGAGTGAAACCGGGCGCACGTCCCTCGTCGGGTGCCGCTCTCCGCCGCCTTTCCGTCTTCACCGCCGCCGCGGCAGCTTCAGGCGCAGGAAAGCTTTGCAAAAGTTCGCTCCGGGACTCGGGCCACTTGTCCCCTGTGCTGCTGGCCAGGAAAGTTCTTTGCCGCTGCAGCGGCTCTCTGGACTTCCCCGGAAAGACTGTCGCCGCTCTCCGCGCTGTCACCAGCTCCGGGGAAGCGGGGCTCTCCTCCTGGGGGCGGCTGGAGATGGGGCTCTCCGGACGCTCCCCAAAACACCAGCCCGGGAGCCACAGGCGCTAGCTCTGGGCAGTTGGTGAGAAAATGGAAAAGAAAACCAGATGTGCAGCTCGGACTCTGCGGCCGTCTTGCCTGCCTGCCTGTGTCTGTCTGTCCGTCTGCCTGAGTCCGCGCACCTCCACTCCCGCCTCACGGCTTCAGCCACACTCAGTGCAACTCTGAGCCCTTATCCAGCCCGAGCTCAACACTTATCTGTGACCAGTCAACCCCTAAAAATAGCCCATGATGTCACCCCACGGCCTTCCCATTGGCTCGCGTCGCTCTCAAGGGGGCGGGCCCGCCCGTCGCCATGGAGACCCCACCCTAGAAGATTCTTCTCTGGACCCGCGGAGGCTCACGGGATGAGGTAATGCTCCGCTGCCCTCCTACAGTTGGGCCCTTTTTTCTCCTCCTCTCCCCCTCCCCCTCCCGCGCGACTCGCGCCCCGCTCTTCCCTCTCCCCTCCCCGGCGCGTCTTTCCCGGCCCGCCCGGTGCATTGTGGGCTGACGTCTTGGGGTTTGACTGTCTAGTGACGGTGGCTGCCGAGAGCCGGGCGGACGCGGGCTCCCGCAGCCTCGGACCGAAGCGGGCTCCGGTTCAGGGCTCGGGCGGGAATGCGGGAGATGCCGGCACCCGGAAGGCTCGGGACCCCGGCCAGGTGTCTGCGCTCAAGGACGCGGGGTGGGGGGAGGGCGTTTCCCCACTCGGGGGGCTTGTTGTCCTCCGCCGGCACGCCGCCTCCCAGCGGGGCCGGAGGCCGAGGGCCAGGCTCTGCGTCCCCCCCCCCGCACTTCCGGGGGGCGGGAGCACCGCTCTTAAGGTAGCTCTGTTCAGTCCCCTGTGGGGGCGAGTGAAAGTGGATTTAAGTTTAGGGGCGGTCTCGCGAGAGTGGGCCCCCCACGTTGAGGACGCTCCAAAGTTTTCTCCCGGTCAAGTTTACGAGCGACCGTCAGCGCTGCTGTCTGGCTGCGCCTGGAAGCCAAGTGATTTGCATTGCTCCAGACTGGGTGCTCAGCTAAGTCCGCGTTGCACCCCCATTGCCCTTTCCAAACCACTGGAAAAAGGTGCGAGGGTTCACAGTTTTGCCTCGATGGCGAAGTTTTTTTTATAGGGGGTGGAATTGGGGGGCAATTCAGCGTTCAGTTCTGAACGAGCGTATAGGGAATCTGAAACTTGGGGAACCCGGGTGATCGTCTACTACCCGCCCCCGCACAACATGCCACCAGACTTCAGACAGATAGACAGACAGACACACAGACACACACACACACACACACACACACACACACCCCGCTCCGGTCCTGATTTGCTTACAGGAAGACGGGAGCGTGAGACACTCGGCAAAAGTCACGCAGCAAGTGAGCGAGACAGGGATAGGACCAGGATTTAAAATCTCTCCGCTCCCAGCCCGGTGGTGGGCCCATATCCTGGGTAGCCTCTAGGAAGCGCTAGACACATGTAAGTGGTTCCTTTTCCGCGGTTGTTACTTTATTCTTCCCCCTACCCCGCACCCCTTAGGGACAAAAGTGTGTGGAGGAAAGAATACCGAACTCGGGAATCGTGGGTTCTCACGTGGCCAGCGCTGCCAGGCTGTGAGGTGAACAAATCGCCGAACTTCTCTGAGTGCCTTCAGATCTGCAAGTGGGGCCGGGGAGACCCTCCCCACAGGGCTGAGATAGTGCGGCAGCATCGTCCGTCCCCAGGGCCAGGAGGTGGTCGCCTGACAGCCCCCTTCCCTGCCCTCCCGTGGGCTTCGCAGAGCCGCGCCCCAGTGCCAGGATAGGGGTGTGACTTGCCGGGAGCAGGTGCACTTACCCCTGTGAGGAGCAGTGAGGGAGGAAGCCAGGTGGAAAGGAGCGGACGTCCGCACTTTCCCGGGCCTGGGGCGTGAAGTTGGACCTGCAGCCATTTACATTCTTAGGTTCTAATTCTGGCTTTTCAGCTTCTGAACTTTGGGGGATTCAGCCTTGGGTTTATAGCCCAGAGCTTTAGAATATTTGTGGCTTTGAGAGTTCAGATTCAATGGCCCAACAGCAGCTAATGTCAGGGAAATCTTGACAACCTTTCTTCACTCCTGTCATTCTCTCAGGCAGCAGAGGAAACCTGAGTGGCTCCTATAAGCCAGGCACTGGGCATGAGGTGAGGGCTTAGGGATACAGAGATGACAATTTCAGTTACTTTTCTTCAAGAGGGAACGTTCTCTGTTCTGTTGCCCTGACTCTTTTTCTTTTGCGATCAGAGAGCTGATGTTCTTAATAATTTTTTATGTTAACAGTAGCAAAAATAAATTTCACGTATTAAACACTTACCACCAGCCAGGCATTCACCTGAGCAACTGAAATATGTTGCTTCTCCTTATACCCGTCTCAGCTGCATATGTTGTTATTTGGATTTAATATATAAGGAGCTAGGCCCAGAGAGGTTGGGTATCTTGCTCATGTCGCACAGACAACAGGAAATTGACCTCGGGTCTGTGTAACATTCCCTTGTTATGCTTGTTATGTTTTGCTCTGGGAGACTCCTGTGTTAGCTGTCTGGTGGGGGGAGGATGGCACTTGGATAGTGCGGTAGAAGAAATTACCGTGCCTGATCCTCTGTAACTCCTTTCAGAGCCTCCTTTTAGAGCTCCTGTATTTAGAAACTTCGAGACTTAGAACTTTGTACAAATATATATATATCTTTTGCCGAAGGGTTCTGTGTGTTTCTCTCTGCCTTATGTGATTTAGTAGGCTTCTTGTCTCCTTATGTTGAGGAATAGCATATTTCATCCAAAAAGTAACAGATCTGTTCATGTTAACGCCCCTGCTTGGAAGCTTTCATGGCTTCCCCTTCTGACCAGGAAAGAGTTCAGAGAGGCCTTTGCCTGAGAGAAGGGGTCTTTTACAGACCCATCCTATTCTCCTGCCTCATCTCTCACTCCCAGAGTCGGTCAGGAAAGGCCGGGCTCTGCTCCCCTAACAAACAAGCCGGACATGTCAGTGGCTTACCCCAGGGAAGTTTATTTCTCGCTCATGCTATGTGCCCCACTCTGGGTCTGCAGGGGACTTCTGCTCAGGGTGGAGCCTCAAGGACTTGGGCTGAGGAAGGCTTCTTCTTGACACGTGCTTCCCATTTCTATCTTGGCTGGGGGAGAGAAGGCAGCAAACCAACCATTCGCTGGCTCTCGAAGCATCCACCTGGAAGTGACACATTGTGTTCCTGCTTGGCCGTCGTTGGCCCAAGCAAGTCACGTGGCAATGCCTGACTTGAATCCAGCCGAGTGTCTGGAGCCAGGAATATTCGGGGAACCACACTAATGATTCTAGCAGCCTCCTTTCTGTTCACCAAATGTTTGGCTTACTGTCTCCCCCTGCCCTGCCCACCCCAGGCAGAATTTCCTCATTTTTTTTTCCTCGGGGGGTGGGGGGAGGGTGGACAGTCCTAAAGATTTATCTAGTCACAATATGTCAAGCTCACTTTCCAGGTTCTGAGTGATTCGTAGTAGACTCTGTATCAGCTCCAGATGTGGCTCTTTTTCCTAAACACAAGGCATCTTCCCTGCGCACCGCCATAGACGCCAGTCCGCTGAGCAGACATGTTGAGGACCAACCCCATCAGCACCCCGTCAGACCCCGATTCTACCCCTTGCTCGTAGCTGCCCTACCCATGGCTGTCTGTGACCTTGGGCTTTGCTCTCTGAGAAAGTCTTCTTTTTCTACATCTAAAGCAGGCATAAAAGCTTTTAAAATTAGCTTTTAAACATTAGGGGAGGTACAGAGCGATATTAAGTCTCTAATACAGTCTCCTTTAATCCAGGCGGATGCGCTTTTGGCAGTACAAGTCTCACAGAGATGTAGTCTTCTTATCTGTTTGATTCCAGGCGTTCCCTGAGCTGACAGCCACAGCCAGCTCTTTCCTAGACACACTTCCATGTTTTGCCGTATTTCTTTGCTTTCTTGCCCTCACGCTGGCTGCTGTCTGTCTCTCTCCCTCATTCACTTCCCCTCGCTTCTCCTCTGCTCTCTCCTGACTTGGTTTTGTGTGCTTTAGGTTTACTGGGCTTTGGTGGGAGAGTGACACTTTCCCTCCCATTTTCAGAGCCAGTTGGTCCAATTGAAAGCATATCTGGGTAACATCTCAATTTATCTAGAGGTTATAACAATAGATTTGAGGCCTTACCCTTCACTTGATACATACCTCTAGGCTCATTTTACTTGGCCTTTGTTTTTTATTATTTTGCTGAAAACATGTCTAAATTTTATATTTTACTAGTTGAGAATGAGAAACAATAGTCTCTTCTAACCCTATAAATATCTCTGAATCTATAGATTGTCCCGACTCTCTTTCATTTCTGCCTACAAACTGGGCAGGCACATCTTCTGCGAGCCCGCTCATCTGCCTTTTGTAGTAAGTTTCCAAATGTATCCAACAGCCAACCACGCAAGCTACTAACATTTTGTTTTACACGTTTACAATCTCTTGGTTAATTCATTAGGTTCATCATATGCCTTCTACATTATTATAGGTGATATGTTCACCAAGTCGATTACCATCCTTTTAGCTTCTGATAACAGTGTTCTTAGTTATCGCCTTATAAATGAATGTTTTCTTTTGTTGTTGTATTACTGCATGTTTCAGTGCTAATTTTTTAAAGTTTATTTATTTATTTTGAGAGATAGAAAGTGGGGAGAGTCAGATAGAGACTGAGAGAATGAATCTCAAGCAGGCTCCCTTGTCAGTGCACAGCCCAACGCAGGGCTGGAACCCATGAACCATAAGATCACGACCTGGGCCAAGATCAAGAGTCAGACACTTAACCTACTGAACCACCCCATCACCCCTAGATGCCAATTTTTACATCAGTAAGGATAGGCTACGTTTGCGACCATAGCAAACAATTCTAATGTCTCAGTGGCTTAACAAAAACACTTTATTTCTTGCTCATACTACATGTTCAAGGTCAGAGGGGCTCTGCTCAATGTACTCATTCAGAGTCTGAAGGAGGTTTCATCTTGATAAATGCTTTACATAATCATCCCACTCACCTCAACAGAGGGAAGGAAGCATGGTGAATTCCTATTGGCAATGAAGTTTCCTTCTAGAAATGACACACATTGCTTGTAGGGACATATTATTGGTCAAAAACAAGTCACATGACGATGTCTTGCTTAAAGGGTACAAGAAAATGTGATCCTACTATGTGCCTGGAAGTCAAGAGCTGGAAAGGC